CGAGCGAGCGAGCGAATGAACGGGCGGACGAACGCGACGCCTGCGATTCCGCAACGAATAAACGCAGCCGATAGCGCGCACGTAACGAATTTTGCGTTACGTAAAGTTCGGCGGTTATAGCGCGACTTTGTTGCATACATACGTGCGTGACGAAGATGTATCTCCGCACGTAGAGTGGCTATTTCGCAAGGCCAGAGGAAGACCGCCACCTCGAGCAAGTCGCGCGCGCCATAATCTTATCGTTCGTCTCTCCTGATCCCGTCGCTGTCATCGGCCCTTTCGTGTTTCGGGGATTTGAGAAGAAACGCGAGAAGATCAGAAGAGAAACTTAAAATCCCATCGCGACCCTCCTCCACCTCCTCCTCATTCCCGTCGCGATGGGCAGTACCTCGTGACTCCATCCGCACTGAAAAGGTGGCGGATTATCCACGGGCTATTATTTTTCCGGCTGTAATTAAAATTCCACGCAACTGCGATCACACAACGGCGACTCTAATTATGGTAAACAGCTCGGTAAAAAAAGAAAAAAGAAAGAAAAGAAAGAAAAAAGTCACACGGCGCTCGAGAGAGCGGGACAGGATCTTTCAATCGGCGAGACAGACGACGTCGATTGAACACGCTCTTCCTGGCATCTCTTCTTTTAGCCAACAAAAATACGAGCGAAACGAGTCAACGATTATATTTGACGTTGCATAATTTATGAAGTCGCGAGTAACAGGCACCGCGATCGCACCGATGCGGTCCCCATTACACCTAGTGTGTAATGAAAAGACCGACTGTCATTAATTGGTTCCATTCCACACAGACGAGTCCGTATATTTTACTCTCCGATTGGCCTCCGATCAGCTCCTGATCTCTCTGGAATCGCGACAACGACGATGGCGATCCGCGTGCACGCGAGACTTAATCAACGATCGAGATTATAATGACGCGATGTTACCGTGAACAGGGCGTACACCGCAAATCTGAGTGTATTCTTGTGACACGCATAAGCGTGTGATTGGCTGAAATTTTCCTTACACGTTTCTCATCGTCTTCAATCATGTCATTCAATACGTTCGAACGTGTTAAATGCTGTCTGAATGAATTAAATGACGCGATTTAAAACGATAAGAAACGTAAAGAAGGAATGTAAAGAAAACTTCAGCCAATCACACGCTTACGCGTGTCAAAATAACACACTCGGATTTGCAGTATAGTCGTGAACTTTTTATATCCTGACGGTGCTTAAAAGTATCGCTCTATATAGGGTGAGTCATTTTAAGGTATATGTGTTACCTACCTCAATAACTTTCCCATTTTTAGTTGTAGAAACAAATGTTTCGGACAAAAATTGTATGGTTTCAAGGGGAATATAAAACAACTATATCAGTTTATGTATAGATGGCGCCACTTTCGAGATATTCATTAATCTCATTACTTTTCTTAAATGGAAACCTTAATTTTTTATTATATAATCTTTTTCTACCAATTAATTTAAATAACGTTTGTCTGAAACACTGTTTTATTTGCCTAATATTTTTTTAGATATTTAAGAAAAATTTGATAACTTTTTCCATATTTAATTTACGATATCTCGCTATTTGTCGGAAGAAAAAGTAGTACTAAGCTTTCTTACTCTATCTGGTCTCAAGAATACATTGTTACAATAGCGCCTTGACTTTGGTTAATTTGCCGACTTTGAAATTTTCAAAAGATAACGAAAGTTATTATTGTAACAATATTCTTGAGACGAAATAGAGTAAAAAAGTCTAGTACTAATTTTTTCGACAAATAGTTAACGAGATATAGTAAATTAAATATTAAAAAAGTTATCAAGTTCTCCTTAATTATCTCAAAAAATATTAGGCAAATAAAAAAATGTTTCAGACATAAAAGTTGTTAAAATGGATTGGTAGGAAAAGATTTTACAATAAAAAATAAGAAAGTTATTGGGGGTGGGTAACACACCCTTAAAATGACTCACCCTGTATAAGCGCTCATATGTTTTTGAATTCTTCTTTTCTGTGTCTCACCCTATACTCCTGCCGGTACTTATAGGCACCGCTTTAAAATCGTTAAAATGTTATAAAATTAATTTTCCTACTCCTTAAGTTTACAATATGCCAGAAGCTACTTAACTATATAAAAACTTAAATGGAAAGTCTCGGGTAAATTAATTTAGGATATAAAGGATTAAAGAAAAGAAGACAAAACAAGAAGAGAGAAAGAGAAAGAGAGAGAGAGAGAGAGAGAGAGAGAGAGAGAGAGAGAGAGAGAGAGAGAGAGAGAGAGAAGAAAAAAGAGGACGACGACTACGGGATACATAATTGCGACAATGGACGGAGCAACCTTCCGCTTTCGTCCTCCGTCGTCCGATAACCGATTAAGGAAGCATTCCTCGATTTCGCTTAGCAGAAGCGCGCTATCGCGCGTGTCTATTATCGGACGGCCGGTTATGTAATTGCCGGACGGCCGGCGGTGGTTTGCGGCAAAATTCCTAGGTCGATCCGGTGTCCGACAATACCAGAGATCAATAACGGCGCGGCGCCACGCCACATCGTCGTCGGTGGTACCTCTCAATGCAAATCGCGCACGCGAAATGCTTACGTAACTCGCGGCACATCGGCGTCGTCGGCGTCGTCATCGACGTCGAGGTTCTCTCGCTTCGTCATGGCGAGCGGAGCGCAAACAGGCGAATTGGGATTCCCGGCGTCTCTTTCTTCCGCTCTTCCTCGCCTGCGCTTCAGCTTCGTCGCTCGTGTTCGCGAGCCGGCCGGAATGCGCGCCAAACGTACCCGCTTGGTCCGGCCGCGATTGAAAACGCGTTGCGAATAGCGAACCGCGTTTCCGAGAACACGGAATAAAACGAGCGCGATCGATTAATAGGCGAAGCGACCCGTCAAGAGTCGCACTGTTCTTTTCTTTTCTCAACTGTTTATTATTCTTCTCGAGATTTCGACGATCGGTCGAACATTCTCGCGACTAATGCGCCGCCCGGAGCGAGACGACTTGGCGAAGGACGAACACGAGTTGAAAATGTGCCGGTGAAAATTGAGATAAATTGCGCAATTAATAGCACTGCAAATGATAAAAGTACCGCAAGAGAATGATATGGTTATCGGCCGTATCGGGAAAATTATTGCATAATTATTCGAGAACATCAACTACGAGAGAGAGAGAGAGAGAGAGAGAGAGAGAGAGAGAGAGAGAGAGAGAGAGAGAGAGAGAGAGAGAGAGAGAGAGAGAGAGAGAGAGAGAGAGAGAGAGAGAGAGAGAGAGAGAGAGAGAGGAGAGAGAGGAGGAGGGAGGGAGGGAGGGAGGGAGGGAGGGAGGGAGGGAGGGAGGGAGGGAGGGAGGAGGGAGGGAGGGAGGGAGGGAGGGAGGGAGGGAGGAGGAGAGAGAGAGAGAGAGAGAGAGAGAGAGAGAGAGAGAGAGAGAAACATGCTTGAAGGAAGTGTTAGAAAATTCGGGAAATATTCATGCCGCGTAGAGAAACTGACAGGTATGTGAAGGGGAAGTCCTATCTCAGGGAAGAGGTCCGCCCAGCATTTTTGTCACGTCGAAAATCATGAAAAGGATTCAGAACCTCTGCCGCAGGATTAGCCTGGTCGTGTTGGTCTCGTGCCGTCGACACGAGCTCGACTGGAATCAATCCGCGGAGAGAGACTCGATATATCGTGTCCCTCGCTCTTCAGCGAAATATACTGTCTCTTCCTCTTCAGATAATCTGTGACGCAAAGTAGGAAGGCTACGAGTTGCCTGGGGTTAGTGCCGCGTACTCATGCGTGCTCGCGTTATCTACATCGCGACGACTGCGTCAGATTTCATTCGTCACCGATCGTTATAACCGGAGCTCCGGGCGTCCCGTTTAACGCGGACGCGAAAGCCGCGAGTGTCATTTCCGGCCGTGGCAGCAATCCGTCCGCGAGCCGGCGGGTCGTTAGTCTGGCGAAAGTAGCTTGAAGAAAATAACAGAGCCGCGCCGGGATTTCGAGCGTGTGACAGGTACACGCACCTGCGGCAGGTGCGTGTATCGCCGCCGCGCACGGATCTTTAAAGGTGCAGTGACCGCCTTTGCTGGCCATCGACGAACTGCGACAACTCGCCTGCGAATTTCATAAATAAGACGTCTCGCTCTGTTTCTCGAATCGATCGTCCTATCGACTAGACAGAAAGGTCGATCGTTCTTGAGTGACCAGCGGGGAGAGATTCGTGATGGTTCTATTTGCACTGTTTATTCGTGTCATTTTCCGCTGCCCTTCGCGATTCCTACGCTTAGAAAAATGCGAGGAAAAGAGGTTCGCTGCTTTAACCTTTTGTACTCGGAATGCCAGCACAGCTGGCAAGGACATTTATTCCGGCAACTCGGAATGCCAGTTGTGTTGGCATGAAAAAGATTTAAAGACAGAGAGCAATAAAATAATAAAATACGGCGACAACATTACAGGAAATAAAAACCCTTTTTTGTAGTTTTTTTTTCTAAGAATCTAGAAATTGTATTTATAATTATCGAGTTGATGGAAGGAAATATTCTTCGAATGCAGAGAATTAAAGGAAGGAAAAAGCGAGAGGCGGCGAAGAAGAGGGATCTTATCCAGCGGACGATCTGAGTCACGCGGCTGACACTTCGCTATTATTCCTCCTGTAGATCGCGATCCTACCTGCGTCGCATATACGGAAAAAGGATCCGAGACATCTCTCGACAAAGGAAACTGTCCGTTCGCACAGCTCTGTGAGCTGTCTCAGTTAAACATCTGCTCGGGAAGCCTGCACGAAATTCACCCGCGGAGATTGATTCTTCCCCTTCAACGTGTGTGCTACCTATCGCGATGTGTTTTCTTTGCTTGGTGGAATTGCTAGATTTTGTTAATTTTGGTGAAACCTACAAATTTCATCTCATCATTGTGTACAATGACGAGATCTTCAGCTTGGAAGATAAGCTTGGGAGCAGAAGAAGCATGGCTACGAATTGCAGGGAGGGAGGACCTCCCAAGGCCTCTAAAATGCGCATATCTCACCTTCATATTGTTCTCCACGACGTACTCGATGGAGCACATTTGGTACACCAGGTAGGCACGTATCAGCTCCATGGTGGTCTTGCTCTTGAACGCGGCGATCGGGTCGTTAAACTTCAAATCGAGCGGGTCGATCTGCCGAGGCGGCGCCGGCGGCTGCCGCTTGACGTCAGCGGCGGTGGTGGCGGCGGTGGCGGTGGCGTAGCAGCGCGTGTCGCGCACCTGTGTAACCAGCCGCAGGGACGGTGTCCTCGTCGCCGCCGCGTTCTCCAGGAGGCCGACCACGGGCATCGGCGACGCGCCGCATTTGGCCAGCTTTTTGCCGGCGCAGCATCGCCGCGACACGCTTCGCAAAAACGCCATTGCTTTTTGGCGCGGTCGCGCGCGCGTGCGAAGGAACAGGGAAAGAAAGAGAGAAAGCGAGACGAAGAGAGCGAGGGAGTGAGAGAGAGAGAGAGAGAGAGAGAGAGAGAGAGAGAGAGAGAGAGAGAGAGAGAGAGAGAGAGAGAGAGTGTGTGTGGGTGTGTGTGTGTGTGAAAGAGAGAACGCGCGCGCGCGCGCGTGTGTGTGTGTGTGTGTGTGTGTGTGTGTGTGTGAGAGAGAGAGAGGGAATTAGCGGACGAAAGAGATCGTCAGGGCGGCGTTTTCGCGGTATCGAAACGATATCGCTACGGAACGACCGCTTGCTCGCCGAGACTACCCTGATCTTCTCCTTCGGATAGGAATGTGAGAGATTAGATGAGAAAGAGAGGACGGGAGCAGGAGGACGGTGGGAGGGAGAGAGAGAGAGAGAGAGAAAGAGGGAGAGACGATCACGCGCGATGGATCAGCTCACCGACGGCAACGATGGCCCAGGGTAGTAAATGGTACCTGCCACGGTCGAGTCGGGGAGTCCAATAGTCGAGGCGGCGGCTGCGACGGTGGTGTTGGTAGTAGTAGCAGCACAGTTAGTTGTAGTAGTAAGCAGTGCAGCAGCAGCAGTAGTGATGGTAGTGGTGGTGACGACGACGACGGCGGCAGGGCTCCCGTACGGTACTCTCGGCGCGAAGCGCGAGGTGTGGTGCTGCTGTTGTTGGTTCTCTCGTTTGCGACACACAGCGACGTATACCCTGGCCGACGTATACGTGCATACACGGGAGCCGCGCGGCGCGACTGAACCAGTCACTAGCGCGTCCTATTAGCGCGTCGTCGTGACGCCGCGAGGTTGGCAGACGTAGAGCTTCGACGAGAAAGGTACGCGAGCGCGCGAGCGAGCGAGCAACGCAACGGCAATGGCGGCCGACCGACCGGCTCTGTGCTTCTCTACCTCACCTCACGACGCGACGGGAATATTATTGATTTTCGCTCGCCGGGCGCCGTCCGACACGGTGTCGTTGAAGTCGAGACCGTGGATGGCTTAAATATAACGCGCCGCGCCGGAATACTCCGACCGCCGCCGACGCGCCTCGGCACCGATTAACGCGCGCCGCCGCGTTTTTCGCCCACGTCGATTGGCCAGTCGCCGGAGGTGTGTACCGCTGACTCGCCAGCGCATTGGTCCGCGGGGAACGCCGACGCATGCGCTTCAGCGGCGGACAGTAGCGTGCCTTGCGCTTCAAATCGTTCTGGGATTATTTGTCGGAATGCTTACGGAATTTATTGGGTGAGTGCAAAAGTTCGTGCGGAGTTTGTGAGTAAAAGTCACACAGTGATTAGGCAAACAAAAATCTTTATTCAATCAATGATATATTCTCCATCGTTTTCTATAATCTTTTCCCAACGTTCTGGCAGCATACGGATGCCTTGATCATAAAAACTGCGCGGTTTAGATTCGAAGAACGAAGAGACGCCGTTTTTTAAGGCCTCCAAAGAAGGCCGTCAAAGTTTTTTCCATTTAAATAATTTTGCAATGACCGGAACAAGTGATAGTCAGATGGTGCGATATCAGGAGAATGCGGTGGATGCGTTAAGACATCCCATTTCAGGCTCTTCAGTTTGCGCAGCGTCTTTTTCGAAACGTGTGGTCTGGCGTTGTGTCGTGATGAAAGACGACTCCCTTGCGATTTGACAAAATCGGACGTTTCTCTTTTATTTCTCGATTCAGATTGGTTAATTGGCGACAGTACTTGTCCGAATCAATCGTTTCGCCAGCGGGGAGAAGCTCGAAATAGATTATGCCCTTGCAATCCCACCAAACAGAGAGCATCACCTTCATCGGGTGCAAACTGGCCTTTGGCATTGCGTCACCATGCTCACCTGATTGTTTCCATGTCCGCTTGCGCTGAACATTGTTGTAGAGGACCCATTTCTCATCGCCCGTCACTAGTCGATCAAAAAACGACTCGTTATTGAGCCGCTCGAGTAAAGAAACGGCTGCAGAAATTCGCTTGATTTTGTTCTTCTCGGTCAGCAAATGGGGCACCCATATATCGAGCTTCAAATCGAATCCCATCTTTTTTAAACGCCGAAAAGCGGTTGATCGGTCAACGTTTAGTGCTGTAGCAACTTCTTCTGTTGAAATTCGCGGATTATTGAGCACTAAAGTATGCAAAACATCGTCATCAATGTCAGAAGGTCGACCAGAGCGTGGCTCGTCTTCAAGGTTAAATTCTCCGCGCTGAAATTTAGCAAACCATTTTTCCACAGTTCGTTTAGCTGGTGCTTCATCCTGATAAACATCCTGAATGTTTTTTACGGCTGCGGCAACGTTTATTCCCTTCCGAAACTCGTAAAGCATAACATGCCGTAAATGCATCTTATCGATACTCATTTTTAAAGTGATATTTCTCGAAGCAGTTTGTATGAAAACAAATGATTTTTTTTTTAATAACAGCTGAAGACGTCACCTTTCCAACGTTATATAATATGTAGATGGAAGTATTAATGACAACACTTTACGACGCTTATAACTCCATCTATTGAAACTCCGCACGAACTTTTGCACTCACCCAATATATTTCGATTGTATTTATTTTTTCACAGGGAACACAAATTCTGTGTAAACGGATATATCAATTGGATGCTATGTACTCTTTCACGGATCAACCATTCCTCGTAGTTACATCTTTAGGCTAAAGCTAACATTACATATGTTGTACGAGCTTATCAGTCGTTTCGATTGGCTGATATTGTGCATGCACGCGTTTGTACGAGAAAATTTTGTCATATGTAATATAGTTCATCTGTCACAAAAAAAATATTACATAATTATGTATACATATATAATATACAGGGTGTCCCATTTTAAACGATCCACTCAAATATCTCAAAAATACTGCGTTAAATCGAAAAATGTTTCAGACAAAAATTGTTTGGCTTGAAGGGGGACATAAGACAGCGATGGCATTTTGTTAATAGATGGCGCCACGTTTGAAATATTCACTGGGACACTCTGTATAACAAATGATAATTTGTATCAGCCATATTTCAATGTTTCTTAAATGGTTAGTGAATTAAACAACACTGTATTTGTAATATACTAATGTATTTGTAATATATTAATGTTAACTAATATACTGATGTATTTGTAATATATTAATGTTAACTAATATACTAATGAATTTGTAATATATTAACCCATTAACGCCTAAAAGTCCTAAAATATTAGCCTTGCTTTGCAATTGTATTTTATGTAGAGAAACATATTATATAAGGTTGGAATAGCATTTCCTTATGTTTTCGGGGTCGTCCTACAAGATTCCGGCATCAGAATTCGTTTAGATTCACAATAAAATCCAATATGGTGGAATTTTTGGAAAAAAGCCGTGAGAAATCGACAATTTTATTTCTTATAAGCTCGATTTCGTATCAAAAACGTTACTTTGATACAGATACAAGTGTCACATCTTGTTTAAAAAATGTTGAACTTTCAATGTATGCATTGGTGAAAATGTGAATTCAAGATGGCTGCCTCAAAATGACGGTTTGAACGAAAAAAACTTAAAAAATAATGTATTTTTAGAATAACTTCGCAAAATCCTAATATTTAGCATTAATTTAGTGTCCAGGGTACTGATTTTAGGATATTTGTTGACAACTAATTCATATTAGAGGATTTCAACATGGCGGATCCAACATGGCGACTAAAAAGCACGAATAATCGTGAAAATTTCCAGATTTTCATGAATTTTCTTCCATTATTTTCATGTTCATGAATTATTTTCGAGAGGTATATACACATATACAGGGTGGGTAATTATAAACTTACAAACTTTATAAAAAACAAAAAATATCGAGGTAAGTACAACGGAGGGGAAAAAATTGGAATCGGCTACGTAAAGTTTTGAGAAAAATTATTAAATAAATGAGCGTATAAATGCGCGTCATTAAAATATCAATATTACATTGATTAATCTACAATAACAGAGATAATTGCAGAAACATGTAATGTTTATATTGTACATATTTATATTATACATGTAATATTTAAATAATTATGGAAAACTTTAGTATTCATTGTTCTTAAAATACTTACATGTGATGAGCAAAAACAAAAATTGCAAAAGATTTTGATATAATTTCCTACATTGTGTAATGCATTATGTGGATAGAAAGCATGTGGTCATACAAGTGATATTACATTTTACTCAATTTTATATTATTTTCTTTTAGAGTAATTTATTTTCAAAATATTTTTGTATCTAAAAATATAATTTTATACTCTACGATATACGGACGATAATCCACATATTACAATTATAAATATTCACATAGCATAGTGTTAATGGTTATTTGTGGTAGCAACTATAAGTTTCTGTTGATATTAAAGTAGGAGAACATCAAAGTGATAGAGACATATGATTGAGATCTACTAAAGACGAAGCATTTGCAGCAGATGAAATAGATATATCATCCCCAGATTATGTTTTTGAGGGACCAATTTGTTACATATATTAGTAGCTAATAAAGCTGTTTAATTAAGTAATTATAGAATGTTATTCTCTGCAAAGGAAAATTTAACAAAGAAAAAACATATAATTAATTACTAAACTAGTCGAAACAGATATTAGATATATTATTGACATTAGAGATATTATTTTGGAATGTTACAATTCTTATAATATATAATAATAATATATAATATTATCGTTATTATATTCAGCATATATTGTACATGAAAATTAATATAAAAAAAAATTAATAAAAATTGATTGCAATTTTTTTCACAAACTCATAAAATAATTTGCACATATGTATATATTATAAATATATCCAATTAAAACTTGCAATTGTCCCTATTTATTTTTGTTTCATTTTCATGTTGTACAACATATTAAATATAATAATTATTTACTATATATATTGTACATATACAACTATAGTGGAATATAACAATGCTAGTTTACATATAATGGTCCCATTTTCTATAGAACATACTTTTATTCCATTAATTTTTTTGAAACATAAATATTCAAATGCAAATTATTAAATATTTTTATTCAATATATTTCTTATATCA